GCATGTATCACATCAAGATTAAAGGCATGCCACCCGCGAAATGTGATCATTTGTCGCGAACACGCAAAGACCATAAAATCGACGCAGTCTCATTACAAGAAAAGCACATGGATGACAACGCTAAAGTATAATGCTACACAATCAGTGGCTACAAGCTCATCGCCGTAGAATACCACAAGAATCACGAAAAGGCTGCTTTTATCTGGTAAGACCTACCAGATGTTGCAGTGCTCAATGAAGGAAATATTAACGGTCAGTACAACAGCCGTAAAGTTCGAAAAAATCACTATCACGAACATATACAAATCGCCAACGCAGAACTTGCCAACACCAATGATGTCATAAATAAACTACCCTGCAGTTCACGCGGACTTCAATAGCTACTATACTCAGTGGAGCTACTTAAAGAATAAGAGCGGGGGGGGGAGGGGGAAGGAACTGGCGGAATGGGCATCTAGAGATGACCGCCGTTTGCTCTTCGACCCAAAGCAGCACCAGATATTTCGATCCAGACGCTGGAAGAGAGATTCTATCCCGGACCTCTGCTTTACTTCTATTGACAACAACAAAACATCAGTACTGGCCAGTTGCACGATTCTGAGCTATTTTCCAAAAAGACAGCGCAGACTGCCGCTATTCCACATTGGCATCAAAGAACAATTAATAACGACGAATTTGATTCCACACTGGAACTTCCGCAACGCCGGCTGGTTATGATTCACTTCCGAAGTCGAAAGGGAAATAATCCCTATCAATTCCACGTATGGAAACTTTGATCTTTTCGGCAAAATCATCAATGCAGCGGACGTGAACCATAATCCCTGAGGATGCCGGAAGGAGTACACGCCAAGTTACTGAATGAAACAAAAAACTACGAAAGGACAACCGCCCGAGCATAGCAACCAAATTTTTGGATGGCGAAAAATGGCAGTGATGGCGGAAAACGGTCGAAAATACGTATTCGACCTCTGAGGCACGGTACAAACTCTGCAATTTTAGAGAAACCTCAGAAACATCGGTCTCGAAAAATGACCACCAACGCGGCCATGCCAAACTCTTACAGAACGCTGAATATGAGACAGAAAAGAATTAAAAGACTCGTCGAGAGTTGACTGAAACCTTGCCCACTGACGTCAACGATCTCTGCCCCCTACACAAGAAACAAAACTGATGCCGGTCTCGCTGAAATCAATCAAATGTGGAAAGACGGCATGACACGACCTGACGAGATTTATCCAGAGTTCCTAAAACGTTTGGGACATAACGGTCGAGATTAACTCACCGCAGTTTTCGCTGAAATCCACTGCACCAAGGACACACCGTTCGTGAGACAGCAAAAATAGTTTTAATTTTGAAATCCGTAGAAGTCGCCTAATGAAGCGTTAAGTTATAGGTACATCTCCCTTTCCAGCACAGTATGCAAGTTGCTATTGCCACGCCACATGCCTATTACAGAAACAACACTGTTACATGAGCAAGCAAGCTTCTGGCATAGAGGAAGCTGTATCAATCAAGTCATCGCAATAACATCGCTCATATGCGTTCTTCCAACAAGGAAAAGCGAGTCGTACTCAAAGATCTCAGCTGCGCTTTCAACACGGTGTGGAGACATGAACTGTTACTGAAATCTGAAAAGATACTAAAATATCCAACATGCATACAAGCGACATGCCGCCAATATCACCCTGAAAGTTTACACACGCTTGAATTCCAAAGCAGAAGTCTCGACCAGGTCGATTGAATTCAAACCGCCAATCTCAGGACAATGAAATAGTATTACCAATGCTGAAGGCTCCGCCCCAACCCGTTGAAAACAACTGCTACCGTCTGGTAAAAGCAACTCTCAAAATGTCGTTCTGTGAAGATCGAATCAGAAATGAAGCCAAACCCGAATTACCTGGGATTAATCTTAGACTACACCGTCACGTTCCGAGAACACTTTCGAAGGACCTGTGACAATACCAAGGCTCAGAACAACATCGTGCAGCAACAGGCGGAACAAGCTGATGATCTGATAAACACACCCTGCGAACAGTTATCCTTAACAGCACAATGACGGCTACAATAGGAACTCTTCATAGCATTGCACTTCTCTGGTTATCAGTTTTGTCAGACATAAGAGGGCACCAAAGCTGCTTAAAAAAGTAACTCAAAATCTAGTATGAACCAAACTTGCCTGTTAATGAAGCCTGCAAGAACCATTCTACGGCAAAATCCATCTTCATCTCCCATCGCCGCTTCTCCGGCAAAATTCAAAACGCTCAAAACTTAACTACATCATCTTTCGACGCCTGTAATGAGTGGATAACAATCTGGCAGAATTATAACATGCCAAACAAATACCTCTTCAACAATTATACAAGAATTCTGCCCGAGCCCCACTTAACCCGTAAACAACGGAAAACACTAAACAGGATCGGCATGACCTCCACAAATGATGCCATGAAGAAACCTCAGCATGCAACTCCAAGATGAAACAGTCAGCAACATCCTCAAACAGAACGAATAAAGAAAATTCGAGAAAAGAGTCAGAGCGTTACACGCGCTGGCAATTGGGTCTATCGCTTAACTGTACAAACAAGATCTCAACTTATAATCGTTGCTGCTATGTGCAAGTAAACGTTGACATTAAAATAAGCCTGAATGGCGACTGTGTGATTGCCATGCTGAATTTGCATAAATAAAGATCAGAAACATGTGACCCTGCTCAGAGTGAACGAATTTGCGTAATCGTGCCGTCATAAAGCAAAACCATAAACCTAATTTTACACAATTTTCATGTTGTGTTCACTGAAAGCTTTCGATTGATATGTAAAAGATGAAAAGTCAAAAACGGTAGAGATGCAAACATATGCTAATATATAATCAACATAAGTTAATACAGTCAAGTCGCGACAGCAACATGCAGGCTGAATTAATAAGTTCGGAAAATGGAATAATGAAACAACCTTAAAAATTCATTAGTTTAACAAAAAATTTCGCACTGTACTTTTCACAGATATGTAACATGAGGAGATAAGATAAAACTATTGATGCAGTTGACCACAGTTAAACAATATAGATTCAAGCTCGTGGCAATAAAGACCATCGATAGGCTCCCAAACTCACAAACCGTTTCTACAATGCTTGTTAAACCCGGCTACATTAGGTTGATAACCTCTCCGTCAACTAAATTCCCAAGATCAAGCTCCACCTAATACTTCTGGGTACTTAAGTTTCGAAACAATTTCATATTAGCATGTCGCTATGCTATTTGGCAAGGTCTACTTACAGACGACCAAGCAAGAACAATCGTTTTGACGGCACTTTGTCGCTTTCAAACGATATGTATATTGCTGAGGTTCAATATCGCACTTTAGTCATACCTTGCTTGCGGATATACTGGTCTTCAACGTTGGAAAGACGGTTCCGCCGCCAGCATCAGGTTGAGACAACTAAAAGCTATTATCATGAAAATATAACAGATCGGCGCAAAATTTTTTACATTATTACTCTAGCGGTGAAAATATCATTTAAATTCCTACCATGTCTAAGAGCTAAGTTTATCGTTGCGATATAATCCTTAAAATATAAAATACTTCATGTTTGGTAATTAGAGGGGTAATATCACCAAGAGATGGAGAGATGAAAAGGGGAACTTGTGATGGCTTTCTTAGGCATCAGACCTGTCATAAATTCAGATAACTGGCAGATGCTGAAAAAACCATATGAAAAGAGTAATCAAAAATTCTGGCGAAAGGAAGGGATTTTAGGTGATAAAGAGCGCATAACGTCCAAAGTAAGAGATCGCACATCAGATCGATGTACGATGGATTGTATTTCTTGCAATTCAGGGAAATCTGTCCCAGAAAATAAACTAGCTATCTTAACACAAGGATTTAAAGCAATTAATCAAAGGCGTAAATAAATAATTACTACAGCACCATGCACCACTATAAGAAGTATATGTCGGTTTAGATTTCTACATCTGGTAACAGACGAAGTTTGATTAGCTTCAAATGGTGGGAGGTATCGATTTGGCTTATGGACATCAAACTTCTACTCGGTTGTATGAGGGCACGAAATCGAAAGGCACAACTTCACACTATTTCACTTGAAATTCCAGCTGTGGTTCTTGCACACTATATGGAAGGGGATAAATTAGGGATAGCAAAGCTAATCATTGAAGAAAATATAGTGATTTTCTATTATGGCATCAATTCCATCGTTTGCTATATTAGATCGAAAAAGAACCGAACGACGACGGGTGAATGACATTCAAAAAAAGAAAGACCTGAACATCGGTAAATTTATAAGTGACGGGGCTGGAAAATAAGGCATAAATTGATGCGCCAATCACCCACTCTCTGAACAGAGAAATAATTTACTTACATAAGCTATCTGACCAAATAATTCCATTCTGTCGGTCATGACAGCTGTATTAACTGACTCTTGAGAGCTAGTGTTTCGGGCACTACGTAGGACATAACAAAATCATATTAATTCAAAACGTTTAAACTGAAATGCATGTATAATTTAAATTCTGTTCTAAACTTAAGACTGAGTAAAACCATTATATGCAAAAGTGTCTTAATAAATCTAAAACAATTCGAAAATAGACATAAACGATAATACAGAGAAGATCCAAATGATGAACTGATGAAACTACCCAAGGCATCAAGCCACTGTTGTCTAAAGACGATATATGTTTAGCTTAAAATTTTCTGAAGCGACATGTCAAGAACAAAAGATATGGCAATGAATATGTGAAACCTTTGCAAATGTTATACGACACATCATGCAATTACCAAAAATTTAAACAGGACGCAATTAATGACTATTTCAAATAAACTGCTTTCATTTTCTGACAGATAAGTGATTAATAAAGTAGTTGCTACTTTACACTACGTATTAGACAGCTGATGACAGGGGTAAAGTTGACTTATTGAATGTCTGCTTTATTGCAGAAATAAATACTGTTTAACTTTGAAAAGAAATCCGCTGGACTTGAATTAAATATCCCATTATAAGGCAGTTCACGTCTATTTCTATATTGTATACACTTATATTTGCGTTTTTGCTTAACATGCAGTTCAATCTTTTTCATAAACCTAAAATTAACTGTTTAACTCGATTCAGCAACAGACTATGAGAGATATCAGGATTTAGAAGCTGATTACTGATACACTACTACTTACTCATTACTTCGTGACTAACTTCTAAATTAGTTGATGGATTATGAATAGGCTGAAAGGGAAATCGTTGACTTCGTCTCAGAAACTGCATTTTCTCGGGTCTCCCCGCAAAAATCTCTCTTCACACACTGTTTAGAATTTCATACCGTAGTAATTCTAACTATCTGTTTTGGAAGAATGACATGCCTAGAAGAAGCAGAAGGAAACTTGTCTCTTCGATTGGGAAATATCCATTGTCATAATCACAAATAACATGCACACAAAAATGTACAAAAGGCGAAACGCAACTCGATGACTTACGTAGCTAAAGTTATGCAAATAACAGTTTTTGTCTTTCAGGTCTTGAGAAACTACGACAATATGGTGCATTAGTCTGACCACGTTCACTTCGGTACTTAAAATATTTCCAAAGAAGTTTGATATGTGGCATTATAGACGGAATCCCCTCCCGTCACCCTCCAAAAAGTTTTGGGTCACAATGAGATGGAACCCGCAATTTAGAAAGCTATACCCAACGTTAAAAAACTGCATTGTTAGCAAACCAATTTTAAACCTACGTAGAAAAGAACGCTACCGATACGGTTTCCGGTTCCCAAACTTTGAAATGAATGCGAGTCATTAATCTATAACAAGGAAAATATTAAAATCGTGCTTACATAAAAAAGGACACTAGCGATGCGATTGCCCAGAGTAATTCTGTACGGATCTTTCTCCCCTCGCTGAAAAGATTAAAACGTTCATCAGTAAAAACGTAAACGCAAAATGCAGCCGAAGCAAATGAAGGACTACCATACTAAAGATGATATACAACTTTGCTAATAATAGAAACAAAATAATAACCAAACAGACCTGTCTCTCACCGGCCTTCTTAAAGATAAATCGGCTGGTGAATTTGTGTGATTGTTCAGATCGTCTGCAGCGACTAGCATGTTTTAATCCGAACTTCGGCTTTAGACTGTCATCCGATAAAACACTGTTCGATATAAATTAAGCTCTCATAGATCAAAGACCTTTCCTCAATAATTTTAGGTATTTTTTAAGTTCTTCCACTTAAGTGCTACTCAGCTACTGAGCAAATAATACACTTAGTCGACATTACGAACTTAGACTAAAACAAGCGAAACATTCATTTGTAAGCCTTGTACTGAGGTTGTATTTGGACTGCAATCTCACCACAACAAAAAGTAAATGCTAAGCTTAAGATCAAAACTCACTGAACTCTGCAAAATTTAAAATAGACATTTATTTGTCAGTTAGTTATTTGTCACATAGTTATTTGTCAATTACTTAGTCATCACACACCGTTTTCTTTTAACTGTTTTCCAGAATTTTTAGTGATCAAGGAGAGGAGTTTCTTAGGAATTGTCAAATAGCATAATTCTATGTATCGCAGTTGAGAAATTAAGAAAATTATAGAATCATTTCATTAACATCATGTCATTTCTACAGTATTGTGATTAAGTTGGACATACGAATTTGAAATTCAGATACAAACCTCTCTTTTGCGTGGAAAGACTGTTACATTTCACTGTTACATTCATACTGCCTACCATCGGGAAAGAGAAACAAACTCTTCTTGACCAGACTCAAACTCCATGGGTCTTTTGCATAAATTATTACAGCACATCCAGTAAATAATCATCCGTACTCCCTCATCGCTTCGACTGCCTTTACATCATGAACGTAGAAACGTAGAAGATCATTAAACAGAGGCATGCAGTAGAAACGAACCGAACCGTCCCCAGAAAACCACATCGCTATTACTTACCGTTGACATATCAAAATGAGGTTCATAATGACCACCGATACCATAATTTGCAATCTAAGATGAGAAGCATGCTTAGATTTATCAAGTCAATTATTAAGTGTGAAAGTAAACATAAACGAATTAAATCGCCGTAACAATTATAGTAAAATACAGGTGTAAAAGATAAGCGAAAGCAGTGTAGTTGGTCAGATCAGCAAATGGGAAGTCATGAGACAGAGAAAAACATTCACCTTGCCAATATGAACGCTTCCTCAGAGCAGACATTTTCCAGTTCAAGTTTATTCGCTGGTATTACAACTTCGCTATTAGCAATAAGATACGTTCCCAACAACTAAGCAACTCTTTCGCATACAGAATACCAAGTATATACAAAAAGAAACAGCAAACAAGATTAACTAGCATAATTACTGTTCAACTGGTTAACAATCAGATTCTTTTGCCCTCGGGATATCGCAATTCAGTGGAAAAAAGAGTAGAGTCGAATGACGCCCAACACGATTTTGGATGAAATTGGATTAAAACTGCTCCTACAACAGCTGTACGCAATATGAGAATAGTCTTTTGGAGTGACTGTGAAAGCTTCACAGCAGCTCTGCTTACAGAGATTGCAGTACAAGCGACAAGCTGATTTTCGCCTATTCTGTTGATGACTGACGTTGCACTAAAATATATCGTTCCATCTGTTCATTGTCTGTTTGTAATTATGCAGGGAGTTAAGTTATCAAGTTGCAAATAATACAGGTATTTAATATACAACCTGTTGACCAACTTATCCAAACTCCTTAGTCAGTAAACATCCATTATTACCATTACTTGACCTGACAACTGACATTCGGTCAAACGAAATATTGTCACAGTGTAATGACAAAAAGCGTCGCGTATAGCTATGGAATGCTATAAAATAAGAAGCATTTTAGAAAATATTTATATCAGACTATCTGGACCTCTTATAGCTCGTGCCATCAAATCAGTAGTAACGGGCAACTTATCGACGAATAAGCATCAAACGGCCGGCAAATTAAATAAGTACTATGATGAGTAATACAGCAAGGTAACTCGCAACCCTCTCTAGACACACATTACGTTTATTCTGACTAAGAAACATTGATGCAAAATGAAAATAATGATACCGAAAGCCATGCACTCCCATTTGTTAACAACGTCCGGCACAGGTACAAATTTATAGCCTTTCAGAATGACGGAAGAATAGATCAGCAGTTAGAAGATCCAGAAACCAAAACTAATTAGTACAAGACGTGTGAAATGAATGACTTGCTTACACATCTGAACGTTTGTCTGGTACCTTTCCATAAATTTTTTCTATTTGCTAATTATGTTAGTTTTATTGTCATTACTGGAATACGGAAGAAATTTACTGTCTGTATTAATTGCAGAAGAAAGCACAACGAATTCTTTCCATTGTGTAATCCTTCACTGAATGGAGGAAGATGATCTATCGGCAAGAAGAACTAAAGACTGAAAGGTTGATTAAAGATATCAAGAAATGAACAATACTCACATCGTCATATTAAAATTAAAAGCATAACTGCCTATAACAACGGAAAAGGTAAGACAAGACTCAGTAAGAAGAAAATCAATACACACCCACCCACAGCAAAACCTTATAACTCAAGAACCCTGGTTTATTTTGTTACCAGTGAATGAAAGATAAAAAGCGATAACAAATAAATCATAATAAATAAATTACACCCAAAGATTCACCTAACTAAAAATAAAGTAAAGAACTATAACATCAGGATTGCCAGATTTTTGAGATACATGACATAAACTGAATGAATAGTCCAAAGGATTTCTGCTGAGGCAGACAAACATAAATCAAGGATTATCTTTCTGATGTCATATAACTTCTCAAGGACAGTTAAATAAATAAATATCTGCCTCAGTCAACTTCTACATCTGCCAGAAAAACTGACGCCAGAACGGTCAGT